ATATCTTACCCAAGAAACCAGCCGAAGTTTCTGTTGCGGACACAGTAAAGACACTTCAAGACCTTTTTGGACATAACACCTCTGTATTTGCTCGCCGTTACACTTACCTGCGGACACAATGTAGTGGTGAGACTCTTCGTGATTACACCGGTCTAGTAAATAGACGGCATGAAATGGCCGAGTTCAATACGATCACAGCCGAACAGATGAAATGTCTTGTTTGGATATGTGGATTAGCTGCTTCCGACTATGCCGACATCCGCGCACATGCACTACGCAAAATGGAAGAAAATCCGCACCTCACTCTCAAGGAGCTCAGCACAGGTATTCAGCAAATTTTGGACATACGGCAAGATGCAAAGCTTCTATGCAGTCCATTATCTCCTCCACCACTTCCCGATGTCAATGCTGTGAGCGCAACAAGGAATAGAGCAAAAGAACCGCCGTCACCTTGTTTCCGCTGTGGAGGATCACACTGGGCGAAAGACTGCGACTACCTAGAGAAAGCGTGCCATTCCTGCAAACGCATTGGCCACAAAAAGGGATTTTGCCGAAACTTCAACAAGAGGCAAAAGATGAACACTAAAAAGAAACCTAGACGTGCTAACCAGGTAGTTGTGGTTGCCTCCACTGCTACCACTGCGGCTGCTGTGAAACGCATCTACAGGATTGTGGAGATCAATGACACTCCTATTCGAATGCGTCTCGACACCGGAGCTGACGTCACGTTACTTAGCCTCAAGGACTGGATCACAATTGGTCGTCCTAAGTTGCAACCTCCATTAGTTGCATTGAAATCAGCAGACAACAAGGAAATCAAGGTTCGTGGCCATTTTCAATGCTATTTTTCCATTGGAGGACACGAAGGAACAGGAAATTGCCATGTGGCCGACACAGCTTCACTACTTGGGCTCGACTGGATAACGCAAGTTGAACCACTGTTTCATCATCTTACTGGAAACACCACATGTAATGCCGTATCCGCTACAACTCTCACAACACTGCGATCGTCACTCACTGCACAACTCCAAGCAAAATTCGCTCCAGTTTTCGCACCAGGACTAGGATGTTGCACAATGTCCAAGGCCTCCCTCAAACTCAAGCCGAATGCCACCCCTGTTTTTCGGAAAGCCCGCCCAGTTCCTTATGCGGCTCTACCTCGCATTTCTCGAGAGATCGATCGCCTTGTAGCTGCCAATGTCCTGTCCCCGGTCGACCACTCCGATTGGGCAGCTCCTATAGTAGTCGTTCAAAAGAAAAACGGTTCGATACGTCTATGCGCCGATTTCTCAACTGGCTTGAACGACGCCCTAGACCAGCACCAGCACCCCTTTCCCACACCCGACGACATTTTCACTAAGCTGAATGGAGGCCAGTACTTTTCACAACTTGACCTGGCCGAAGCCTACCTTCAGTTGGAAATGGATGAAGAGTCCCGACCGTTGCTGACAATCAATACACATCAAGGCTTATATCGCCTTAACCGCCTACCTTTTGGAGTGAAATCAGCACCCGCAATCTTTCAGCAACAAATGGATACAATGATTGCTGGACTGGATGGTACCGCAGCTTATCTTGACGACATCATCATAACTGGCAGGACTATAAATGAACACAATACACGCCTGGAGGCCGTTTTCCGGAAAATTCACGACTATGGATTTCACGTTCGTCTGGAGAAGTGTTCTTTTCTACAAACTGAAATTCGCTATCTGGGTTTCGTCATCAATGCCAAAGGACGTCAACCTGATCCCGCGAAGATAGAAGCCATACATAATATGCCGCCTCCGAAGGACGTCAGTCAACTTCGTGCCTTCCTTGGTCTGGTTAACTTTTACGGAAACTTCGTGAAGAACCTGCACAATTTACGCGCCCCACTAGATGCTCTCACCAAGAAGGACACCACTTTTCTATGGACCCCGGCATGCCAATCTTCGTTTGATCGAATCAAAGCGATACTCAAATCTGACCTTCTGTTGACACACTTCAACCCTAACCTCCCAATCGTCGTAGCTGCAGACGCATCAAATTATGGAATTGGAGCCGTACTGTCGCATCAGTTCCCGAATGGGTCAGAGAAAGTCATTTATCATGCAAGCCGGACTTTAACGCCAGCTCAGAAGAAATACAGTCAAATCGAAAAGGAAGCGTTTGCTCTTGTATTTGCTGTTCAGAAATTTCACCGCTTCATTCACGGACGTCACTTCACTTTGAAGACTGATCACAAACCGCTCATCTCCATCTTCGGCAACAAAAAAGGAGTACTACAACTTCAGTATCCAATACGTCAATACCAAAGATTTTGGACAAGCAGATGCATTATCCCGCCTAGTTTCATCACACAATTCGGAACCAGAAGAACGAGTAATCGCAGCCATTGATGCGGAAATCACTGCAGAAATCTTGGACAATTGCAGCCACCTTCCGGTTTCCTTCAAAACTATCCAGAATGCAACGTCAGCTGATTCTATTCTGACACAAGTAATTAACTACACACAATCTGGACACTGGCCCAAAATCGACCGCAATTCACCACTCTTTCACTTCTACAATCGACGGGAAAGCCTATCAACTATAAATGGATGCTTGCTGACATCAAGTCGTATTGTTATCCCTAAATCACTTCAATGTCGAGTTCTACATTCGTTACACAAAGCCCATCCTGGACAAACAAGAATGAAAATGCTGGCGCGCAGCTACGTTTACTGGCCTGCACTCGACGCAGATATCGAACGCCTTGTCAGGAATTGCACCACTTGCGCAGAAATCGCCAAGAATCCTGTGAAAACAGAACTTAGTTCCTGGCCGAAAGCGACCTCATCATGGACCAGAGTACATGCCGATTTCGCTGGACCACTTGATGGAATCTACTATCTAGTAGTCGTGGACGCATTTTCAAAATGGCCGGAAATCTTGCAAATGAGTTCAATTTCAACATCTGCCACCATCAAGGCGATGAGAAGAATTTTTGCACAATTTGGAAATCCACATACACTGGTCACAGATAATGGCACTCAGTTCACTTCCACAATGTTCACTGAATTCTGCCGCCAACGTGGGATCAGACACATTCGCTCCCCTCCTTTCCACCCACAAAGCAACGGACAAGCAGAACGTTTTGTGGACACTTTCAAACGAGGGCTCACTAAACTGAAGAGGGAGGGACCATCAACCGAAGCTTTACAAGACTTCCTCATGGCTTATCGCGCGACTCCTCTGCCCATCTGCACCCGAAACCATTGTCACAGCCGAACTTTCTTGGGCTACGAAAAACTTCGCATCGAATTCTTTGGGGCGCGGGGGGGGAACCCTTTGATTTTGGGGAATGGGGCAAGGCAACTGACAAGATGGGACCACGTGATGCCAAAATGGAGAACCAGTTCAATCGACACAATGGATCACAACGACGATACTTCGAGGTTGATGATGCTGTCTATGTGAAGGATTACCGCGGAACACGAAGCACTTGGACTCCCGGAATCGTCACTCGACGCCTTGGAAATGTTATCTATCAAGTACGCTGTGGAAATCTACTGTGGAATCGACATGTGAATCAACTGAAACCACGAGACCACACGCGCATCGCCGACCAACTGAAGGACGTGTTCGACATTACACCTGTTCATAACGAGTCTACTACTACTATGGACCAAGCGATGCTGAATGCAGAAGAGACGCCGCCTCCTGTAACTCAACCGGCTACACAACTTCGACGCTCAACACGGATTCGTCGCACGCCACCTCGCTTCAATGTGGATCCGTCGAAGAAATCTTACGTTCATTAGTAAAAAGGGGAGGTGTTATAGAGGGCTCACCGCTCAGATAGTCAGTATCACATCCTAATGTGTTTGTTTACCAGAGCGGCTGTCGAAGCCTATATAAACACTTCCTCAAGTGAGGTTGATTCATTGTATTCGTGGTCTACCCAATAAAGCAATCCCATCTACGTCTCCACAACAGTTTCGCGGAAAAACCACCAATAATGAAGTTGTAGATGAAAACCAGACGATTAATGTATGAAAAACTGGAAAAAAACGTCGGGGAGGGTCTTAGACAGGTACTCTCCCTCTGCCGCTCAGCAATGGATAAAGACGCACGTTGGACGAGTTGTCTGAACGTGCCCGCTGTAAACGCGCTCCATTTTTCAATCAATTTTCCCTGTGGTCCCAAAACGAGCACGATTGCCGACGCGTCCAATGACGGCCGGCAAGGGGGCGGGATTGGGGAAATCCCCAAGAACACCCATGTTTGAGGGACTTTCCACCCTGTTTTTGAGTTTCTGAGGTAAGTTCGTTTATTATTTCCACTGCATATGTTCTTCACTAGGGCTCGTGTATCCCTCAGTAGTAGTGGCATTGAAATTTTCGGACCCTCCCTGAACTGTTGCTTTAAGATTCTCGAAAAATTTTTTCGCGGTAGAAATTTGAAAGGTTTTCAAGGCGCTATGGACCTAACCCATTCCACTCTTAGACTTCCCAAACGTCTTCATTTCGTTAAGATCGTAGAGACCGTTGAGAATGCTATGCACTTGCGCCTTTGCAAACACGTAGCCGAGGATTCTCATCTTAATGGTGTTATAGTGGAATTGTAAGCATAACATAATCATCAGTAAATCTAGCAAAAGATAGGACTCCGTCACTAGCCATCGCAGTGATAAACCATGCGCGCGACTTCCACCCACACTCATGCAGACATTTGAATGCGCATTTTGTCGGTATAATGAGAAGGGGTGACTAAGCCACTATTTTCCCGGCTAGTTTGGACCAGATGTCAATAGTGTAGGAATGGAAAAAGGTGCTGGCTTACCAGAAATCGATCGGCTTGCTTCCTGTAGCCGATTGTCTCGCACAATAAAAGGAAATGAAAGGACATTCAAAAAGAACTCTCGGAAGAGCCAAGACAAAAAAATTTATCCGAAAGAATCCACAAAACAAGAAAACCGGGAGTGAATTAGTAGAAAAGATAGCTGAAGAGCTCAATTCTTCGAATCACAGAATTGTTCACATGAAATCGTCTGAGAGATTACCGTCGTCCTTTTCCTTCTGAGGTGGTGCATCCCAATCCACGTCTTCGTAATGGCGCTGTCGTCGTAACGCTTCTCGCTCCTCGGCTTCTTTCATCTCCCGCGCCTACACCACATAACAACGCTCAGAGATAGCTTCTCAAGTGTAACATGATAAACTGCCCAACCTTCTTCTCTTGTTCGAGCTTTCGTTGTTGTCGACGTTCAGCTATGTCTCGTTGCTCGCGCTCTTCCCTGTAAACAAACACCTGGAACTGAACAACGCAAGTGGACTCCTTTTTAATATTGGGTTGACCCATAATTTCTGGCCGATTTTTGTTCAATTCAAATTTTCTTCATGTAAAATTAGCTTCATAATGAAATAAGTTGATATGTTGAAGAACACATCAGGACCTTCAGCCAGGATGTTTCGGAAGCTCAAATGCGCAACGGGATAATTAAGTAGGAATTGAAATAGATCAACGACAAAACTCAACAATTATGCCTTACGACATTTAAGAAGAACCTTGCAAGGAGCGCGGTAGGCAAGATCAGCGCCATGTTCGCCCCAGTCTTTGCTACTGAGCTATTTGGCTCAAGCGCATCGGCAAAGACGATAGGAGCTGCAAAGTTCGACCTCATCATGGACCTCCAGTCACTTTCGATGAGGACCCTTGCGCAACGAATAGGAAGTGCATCCGGACGCTATTAGCAGGAAACTGTAGCAAACATCTGGACGCAGCCTACGCTCCATGAGTCGACACCTGAATGGAATGGGTGTAGCAGAAAGAACTCTCGATAGAAACAGCATGCATCAACTGACCAAGACCGAGAAGCGCGCGTGACGACGTGCAGAAATTTCATCCTGCGACAGGATATTCCCTAGTTGATCACCAGTGCAGATGAGTCAAGAGTCCACCACGATAACAACACGCGGCACGCCTGGTGGCTACCTCGCAGCCTGGACCACCATCTCAATCAAAGCCCGAGCTCTTTCATCAGAGATATTACCCCTGCTTGTTGGATTCGCTGGGTATCCCGTTTTGAGAACCGCTTCACGTTATGCAGACAAGCATTGCAGAGGTAACCATGGAATAACTCCCGAAGATGGCCGTCAGCAGTGCGGGAGAACGGTTCGAAACGTCTCAAAATCTCCTTCCTCCAAATGAACGCCCGGCCTCACATTGCAAAGATAACTCGCCACGTTTTGAGGGAAACTGGCTGGACCACGATACCACATCTGACGTATAGCCCTGACATTGCTCCATCGTACTATCTCCTCCCCAGCGCACTGAAGCAGCAGCTACAGAGAAAGGTGAGTACAGCCATCCCAAAAACGACCTCTCCGAACTCTTCATCCTACAGCTTCACTCGTTCTGGGAGGAATGCATCCATTCGTTCCCTAGCAAATGGATGCATATCAGTGATTATGATGGTGGTTATATTTTTGATTAATGGATTTTCAAAAAAGGAAAATCTTGAAAAAAACGAAGTGTCGAAGTTTGGCCAGGTTATGGGTCAGCCCAATAGAGGACGATTGAAAAACAGTGGCAGAAGTACGAACTGTACAACTTGTTTCTAAATTTAAGTAAATTCAGAGGAAGGAAGGCAATGCTCGCCTGTAGTCAATGTCCTCCTTTTTCTCTGTCTTATTTAGCCGATTCACGATTTCGTTGATACGTTTCGCTACCACACATCGCTTCACTTTCTTATGGTCATGGAATCCGATCTGAAATTATAGTAGAAAATGAATAAGAATATGAGCTGATCGTGTAGTAAGTGTATACAAAAACACTTCAACAGCGGTATCACATAAACATTTCACCGCGATTAGTGTTGCACATACTGAGCAGAGAATTCACGGAAAAGGAAGGAAAAATAGGTAACTACAACGGAGAGCGGTGGCATGTGCATGTGCAACCCGAGAGTGATTGCTACAATACTATAATTACACGAAGACATTCATTACATTAACACAATGACGACAGCGTGACCCGTAAACGCGTCACACTTTGTGCGTCGACGGTCACACTGTGCGTCGGCGACGCGGTTGCGCGTCTCATCCAAATCATCCCTTTTTCTCGATCTCGCACGATTTATTCCCAAATTGCTTACGATAGATTCGTAAAATGGATCAAATCACAACACAATTGTGAACGTAATGGTTCACCATAGTACAGTCAAATATGCTTCAGTTTTGCGGAGTTTTTCTGAACACTAAGAAACTGGCAGCTCAGTTTATTCCTTGTTTTCTTCTTATTCTCACGACCATGTAAATAAAAAAAGAGGAAGTAAACACAAAACCACAGCGATCGAAAAATATTTTTTCCTGGCACAACCACGTTATAAACACTTTTGACATAAGTTACAGCAATAAAAATTAGAAAATACATTTTCTCGTGATTGTAACACGTTTTAAACGAAATTTCTCCACAATACCCCCTCACCCCCAATGACTTCGACGCATTGAATATTGTTGAAATGGGTTTGCATCATTCATTTTTGCACAGTTATGACTTAAAATTTAGGGATTCGAGATGACAGGCCGCTTTGACAAACTGCACCTGTCCCACGTAGCTAGCAAAGCCAAAACAGGTGCTGTCGTCAACGTTCTGGAAATGATCCCTGCGAGACAAAGACCACAGAACCATGGGCTTCTTTATTTGGACCTCACTATTTTGATAAAATCATAATCGAATTATTGCTAAGGAAGAATTGAAGATGAAAGCACTGGAAAGATGAAGATGTTGGTCAAAAGAATGGACAAGTTTCAGCGGTACTTAAAAAATGAAGCAAAAAGTGGGTGGAATCCTGGCAGGACCATCCCAGTATGGCATCATGGATCGCGGTCCGATCCTCTTTACGTTCACGTTCTTTCTGCGTTTATAATTATACTTCATGCGGTTAAATCTTTAGTGCACATCAACACAAAGGAATGGCTAAGAACCTTGAAATTCGCTGCTAATAGTAAGGCGCAGAAAATATCTGCATGCTAGTCATCTAATCATTCCTCACCTGTCCCACCGCCATGTCACCAGTTTTCTTCAAATTTTCCCACATTGTGTACACAATACCGACGTCGTTCATCTTATTTCCATCAATAGAATTTGCTTTGACCAGTTGACAGCAGTCGTCAATCTAGCAAAAGCTCATCACATTGTGTTACTTTGAAAGTGCAAATTTTCATGAAATCACAAAAGTAACAAAAAAAAACAATTATAAATACTCACTAATGCCTGCGGTATTGTGTCTATGGTCATCCCCTTTGGCAACCGTAGATAAACGTGAGCTGATGATACCTTGTCAACGTGGAACCAAACATCTTCCGGCCATCCATACTGAATAAGATCTTCACTAAAGATGTAATCAGATATTTGATCAAAGTATCATTTCATCATCATTTTCTCAAAGATTCAAAGCGTAGATACTGAGATACGGAACGAAAAACCAATGTAGTGGACATTACCTTGATAAGCTCCTCATTTTCATATTTATCTACTCCCATGTACAAGAGAGCCGGCGGATTGACGACATCGGAGGTGAACTTAATCACCATGAGTTAACAGCAATCTCTGAGCAAAAATAACATATTGAAAGAACAGAATAATTACGGAAGTTCCACAAAACATTACTCTGACCAAACGACTATCTCCAATGCAAGAAGATGAAAAAATAATATAAAATAAAATAAAAAGAACAATGTAGTGAAATCGGATCGGAGGCAAAGGTATGGCGTGCTGACAGGAACACGACAATTAAGCCTCCGTATTTTTATACAGAAAGGTTTATTGGGCAGTTGCAAGTTGATCGAGATTGGGAGAAAAACGCATTAGGGAGAAACAGATTCCAATTCGTTAAGTCAGATATATTTGAGACCAAGTCTTAGATCAGCGACGGAAGAGGAAATAGTCCAGTGCGACCTTCTCGCAATCTTGGCATGACAAGTTCAGTAGGAATAATTCTTCAAGCCTCTGGAGTTGAAAACATTGTTAGGATTAGTTTAGCGCCTTCGCCAGAGCTTAAACCCGCTTCAAGAGCAGGAGGACACCAGCCTTTTAATCACAAAGATTGAAGACATGATCTACGAGAGGATCTAAATCAACGTTTTGAAATCGCGGTATTCATGCGTGACAGACGATGTGCATAGAAGATGACAGAGGAAGGCTGCAGATGTCGCACGCTCTCTTTCAAAAATTCTCGTCACATTCCCATAGCGATTCGGATAGCTTTATTGTTATCAAAGGACGACTTCTATGACTGAATTACAGTCTACTAAAACTTTTCGAAAGTAGGACTACGTGGAAGAATTACCATTCCTGTACTGCTGAGTTCTACAAAAAGCCTTTGCAAAACCTACTTTTAGAAAACTGTTACCTAGGCTAGACTTTGAAGAAACATCAGATCCTCATCAATGATCAAAACTCCCCTCTATTTTAAGGGACCGATACCAGTATGAACTTAGAACATTTAATTTCCTTCAAATTACCTCGGTTCCCTTCTTTAGTCCACATTAGAAAAGGGAATGAATTTCTGAAGCTAGGGAAAAATACTAAAGTCTCCAGTCTCTCTACTAGTCTTGCTGTCCATTGCCGAAACTTAGACATATTCACAATGAAAAATAGAAAAAATGAAGCTGAAAGTTCCTGATTTAAAAAAAATCAGTCCGCCTCGCACTCTACTACAAAATACAAATCGTGCTCTATATACCTCCAAACAATTCAGCTTGCAGTTTGAGTGTAGAGTGAAAGACCATACGATTGCGATCGGATGATCGATACGTTTCCACTCCCAAGAAATTGCAGAATCGTAGAATTGCAAGATGCGCAAACTATGGCCTAAAGTCGCGATCACAGTCTGCAATCTGATGTTGGGACTTGCATAGGGTAGATAGAGCTAATCGTGCACCTTGCTGCGTCCTAAACACCGCATTACCCTCCTCATGAGACATATTAATTAAGGAGAGGCGAGTGATGTTGCTATTTCAAGCACAGTCTGAAAGATTTCTAGATCGGAGTAAGCAAACCAGCCCTTTTGGCGTTTCTGCTGGGCCGTATGCTGAATGTTGGGGAGGGGATGGGGTCCCCGAGGTCGACGGACTACTTGAACTCGGTCGGTACGGTAGGAGAGTGATGACGAAGTGGTGCAGCTAGGTCCAGCAGCTCCGCCAAAAGGGCTGGTTTGCTTACCCCAGGACTAAGCCTTGGAGAGAGCGGACCTGCGCTCTCTCGCAGGTTCGTCCTCTCTTTAACCCTTTGACTACTGGTGGGACACATGTGTCCCACTTCGTAGTCAAAGACACTACCACAGTTCCAGGGAATATTGAGGCAGGAGCGCTCATTTGATGGCTGAATTGTGCACATATAGAAGCTTTCTAATTCTTACTATGACAATTAATCGTCAGAAGCTAAAGCGAGTCATCCTGCGTAAGTTAATCTTTGACTACTGGTGGTACACATGTGTCCCACTTCCGTAGTCAAAGTCACTACCACAGTTTTGGCACTTATTGAGATCGGAGGGCCCGCTTTATGGCGGAATTGTGCACAATAGAAACTTTGTAATTCTTACTCCGGCACCAAATCGTCACAAGTCAGAGCGAGTTACCCTGGACAAGTTATCGCAGGTCACTGTACAGTGTGAACACCTCCCAAATAAGGTAATGTTCGAGTCTCACACTCTTTGTACTTGTAATAATGGTTCTAATATTTCCCTCAATTATTGTATCACGGTGAAACATAAGCAAACCGATGACGGATGGAGGCATTTTATCGGCCGCAAGCCAGTCAGAGGACGACGCGGCGTACTACGACTGTGTTGGAGATTCCGAACCTCCAGGGTTCTGTCAGTTCGGATGGAGCGGAAGTGGTAGTAGAAGACTCCTATGATGGCGCAGATTTCGAGCATAAAAACCAGCGAAAATTCGTTAGAGGAGAAGCAGCCGGTGGGCGCAGCCTGTAGGCAGGGGAGCAGCACTTCTACAAAGTGCGGCTTGCAATTCTTTTCAAGTGCGTTCCCAACCGGACATTGCCTTATTCCACGAATGAGATGTGATAAATGTGTATGGTTGAATGACAGTTTATATTTCAAAAATGCTCATTCGAGCGGAGATGGTGTGGTGACAGGAGGGGCCACTGCCGCGCGTATGGTCTCTGGATCGAATCCCAGCTCAAACCCAGCGCGCATCAGCCAAATTTCTACAGATGATTAGTTGTTGCTAGGAGCGACTGTTACTACACAAAACACATCAATAACTTGTTTCAAAAAAGTCGTAGTCTAAGGTTAAGGCTCAGTTTTGAAGTAAGCATGAAATTGAGGCGGTTTAAGGACCGAGTTGAAGTAGTCCGTCGACCGTCGGGGACCCCATCCCCTCCCCAACATTCAGCATACGGTCCCAGCAGAAACGCCAAAAGGGCTGGTTTGCTTACTTCTGACTGATCTACTCTCGCTCGACGTAGCCAAGCCTTGATTCATACTATTGATTAGTACTAGGCTTGTTTTGAGAGTAGAAAAATATTTACTACATCAGATGGCCTGCGGACTTTACACAAGCCAAATGAGCATTGGAAAACAAGAGTGCGAGTCGAACCAGTG